CGCGGAGCACGCAGATTGCCAATCACCGAGTTCGACAGCATGATTCCAGCTGTTTACAGGCCAAGGATAACGTCCTCGTGCCAGGATACCGTCTTCGAAGATTGAATCTGTATAGAGGATCGTAGTCTCGACCTGGTTATTCGCTATGTTATTTATGCGCAACGCAATGATTGGCTGTATATGTGTTCTGTGGGAAAATATATGCAAGGGCCTTGTTCATAAATAGTGCGGCTATTACTCGAGTAAATACGGTACAGAGTGTCCCTGAAACAAATTTAGAGATTGTTTTTAATGCGAAAGCATTAACTGTCTCATGGACCGAGCCGACGTCATCAGCTTTGAAACCACGCCAAACGGCTTCATTTTTGATATTTAGAAAACTATGCAGCTCTCTTCAGTATCATATAGGAAGACCCCATGTCAAATATTACCATCTGATTCCGTCTATATATTTAATAAACTGGCCAGCAAACCTTCAAGCGAGCCAAGTCGCCGAAATCTGCCAACTCTAGCGTGCGACGTGAGGCGCAATCGTCAACGCGTCAATACCGCGGAGTTGGAGCGGCTAACGTTGAACCACTACGTCAGAGGCATGACTACGTCATTCTCACGTTTTGTTTGTTTTTACTTCTCAGAGCGAAATCGAACGATGACGTCATGAGTTTCTCCTCCCGGTGTTGGCTGAACGGCGTCCACGTGATCACCGTAACGCGGATGGGCTAGTTTGCCCTGCCCTGCGCGCTTATCGGTCTGTTTCTCCACTCCCCCTCTCCTCTTTCGTCTTTTCCCCTTCCCCCTCTCACCCGCGCCATCACCGTCCACGCCATGCGAAGCAACCTGCCCGCGTCGCGTGTCCTGTCCCTCGCCCCCCCGAACGTCACAAGACCACGTGGTTCGACATGACGTGGCCATGACTGTGACGACACAAGACCAATGTTGCCTGACGCAACCGAAGTTTCGGTTTCGGTATCAGCTGATGTTTAAATTAGGATTACACAAATAATGTTCCACATTTCGCGAATCCGAAGACGTAGAGCTGTTTAGTAGTGCTTTGTGAAATGGAATCACATATATACCTAAATTTTTCCGAATTGAGCGGAGTTGCCCTTAAAATCCTTCTCCAAGTCAAGGCAGCTCCCATTCACCGGTGTGGCCACGGCACCTTTACCGCTTTGATCCCATTGGCCTGCGCGCGTCGACCAGTCTCCCATTCGCCGGACACGCAGCGCGATGGAGTGGCCAGTCGTTGAAACTGACGCTGGGCGTCAGTTTCAACGACCGGCCACCTTATGGCGCTGCGTGTCCGTCAGCGCTAGAGTTCCTGTATATAGCTACCTACGGTTGCGCATTCAGCCTCGGCGGGTGGCCGTAGCGCCGGCTTTCCCGCACGCCCTGGATACTTTGCTCCTCACGTGACTAAATTTGGCGAATAGCGGTGCCGCGCGCGCCGCCGCGCATGGAAAACAGGAGAGGAGGAAAAGGAGGCGGAAAGCAGGGGAACATACGTCGGGGCGCGAGCAACGTCGGCGGAGCGACCGTAAAGGTGGCTTTCTTGCACGGCGCCGGACGCTTTGCTCCTCACGTGATGGATCTCGGCAAATAGCGGCGTGGCGGCGCGGGGAAAACAAATGCGCCACTCTGCTCCCCCTTCGGGGGAGCATATCGACGAACTCTAGTCAGCGCCAGATCAGCGCCAGTCAGCGCGCACACACGCGTAGTGCAAGTATGATGTACATGCTTTCGCATTCACAACTCATAAAAAGTGCTTGGGTGTACCTCATTTTTTGTACCGCAAAAATAATTACACATCGCCGAACGCTCATTTTCCGCCCAAAAGTTGCGCTAGAGGTTCGAACCAGATGCCAAAGTTTTAGCACGAACCGATAACTTAATTAAAACTTACGTTTTTTTTTTTTTTTTTTTTTTTTATTTTAATGGCAAAATGGTGACCGACGGAACTCTATGGCCCCAGAAACCGAAAATGGGCAAAAATTGGCCTTATTTTCCCGTTGAAATTTTCATTAAATCATTTATAACTTTTGAATGAAATATCGGTTCACGCTGAAACTTTGGCGTCTGATTCGGACCTCTAGCGGTGCCTTTAGGCGCAGAATGAGCGTTCGGTGATGCGTAGTTTATTTTTGCGGTAAAAATGAATTCTGCAATTTTTTCTTTTTTTTGGAGGGGACACCTTTTACGTACGACTTTCGTTACTTTATGTTTCTCGGCACAAGTTCACCGCATTAAACGTTCCTTTTAAGTTTTATTATTGAAGTTCGTGTTTTTATTCGTGACAATATTCCGAGTCTTGTGCCGTCATCCCAGGTGACCAGAGACAAAATGGAAGACGGAAATCCCTAAGAAATCGGTAGACACTGGACGGCCAGTCCTTGATAGAGATCACTACACAAGTTTTACTTCAGGGTCACGACACTTGACCCATCTTGTTGCTTAAAATGATTGTTACCATTCATCTGAAGCTTTATTTGAGACCGCAGGAAACGGTGTTTTGTCCTTCAGAAACGCTAAATAGAGACAGAAACAGAGCAAAACTATGTCGCCTGGGGTTCCCGTCGCCGTACCTAAGGGTCAGGAAGTCGCATTTTCGAATCTTTAGCTATCCCCCACTGCGCTCGCTCTGCCCTAATTTCCACAATGGCGGTGTTCACAAGGAAATCGGAGAACGCGGTGCCGCTACTCTACGCTTGGAATATTTAGTGGTTCTACTCTTTGACAGACAGTTTTACTTGTGAGGAACAAAAACGAATTAACATCAAGAAGCAGCAAACATATTTTTCGTAATCATTGGGTCCTTGAGCATGACTGAATTCATTGTTGGTGGGTCCTCGACACGCCCCAAGCGGAAGGCCTTGTCTCTTCTGGGAAGTATTGGTCATCTTACCGTAAAACTGTGGACGTGTGCATCAATGAAACCGCTTGTTTGTTCTCGGGATCTGTTTAATTGAGTAGGGATAAAAAAATAAAAAAGAGTCTTCCTAAACGAACCAGCACGGCAAGCTGGTTGGATGCTGAGTCGTGCTCGGTGAATGCTGGGTAAATGCTGGGTGGATGCTGGGCAAATGCTGGGTCATGCTGGGTGAACTGGTCATGCTGGTTGCTGTAGTGGACTTCCCCACCGGTTTAACCAGTTTAAAGCGATATACACAGGATAAACAAGCCAAGCTCTTCAGAAAGCCAGCCTGGCATCCAATTTATTATTTTCGTACTCGCGGCAAGCTCACATGAGCTCAGATGCTACACACCTTCTGCGCTGGCACAGTACTAACCGACGCACGAAGAGTGGTTCTCGGTGCAAAACAAACAGTGCTGTTAAAACTAGATTGCTTATGTCTCAATACAAAAATTACTGGAAACACACCAAAAACAGGCAATGACAATAAAAAAATACTACCCGGATGTGAGAAGCCAACCTGTGTCCCGCCAGTAATGGGGGCGAAGCGGCCTCTTGCGTAGTCGGCAGAGGCGAGGAAATCAGTGTGGCTTGGATGGCATTGGCGATCCTCCTCGGCACCACCGTCATTCACGAGCAACACAGATGTTTGACGACATGAAACGAAGCCTCAGTCGGGGCATCCGACATCTTCCCGCGCTGAACGGACTGCCGCTCGCTGTCTCCTCAAATCCCGCTTCACTTGCACCACCGTTCAAGTAGTCTCCAAAAAACGCGCACACAGCCGTCCCTTCAAAAATCTGCCCAGGATAGCCAAACGTGTCCCAAATTCACCGTTCCTTACCACTCTCTCTCTTTTCTCACAAACAAAGGAAACTCCCAGCGCGCCTGAAGCGCCCGGTCGTCTACCAAAAACGGGAGGACAAAGAATAGGGCGTTGCCTCGTCCCAGCCCAAGCCGACCATGGCGCCCGCCCTCCCAGCAACACCAGTTCGACCAGCTCTAGCCGACCTTGGCGTGCGCGCTCCGAGCAAGACCAGCTTGACCAGCTCAAACCAGCTTGGGCCAGCTTCAGCACCAGCTCGAACCAGCTTGACAAGCTTCAACTAGATTCAGTACCAGCTCGAACTAGTTCAAGTACCAGCTTTCCCAGCTGCAGTGCCAGCTCGAACCAGCTTGACCAGCTCGAACCAGCTTGATTACCACCTAGACCAGCTCGAACCAGCTAAACCAGCTTGACCAGCTTGATTTTCTTGCTGTTTTTTTTTTTTTTAAATAGGGGTTGCCTGCTTTTCCTTTATCATTTCCTTTTTCGCCCTCTCAACTTTATCCCATTTGTTTGCCTTGACTGGAGAGGAGAACTTGCCGACCGGGCTCGACGCCCTCCACGGCTTCCACGCCCTGTATTGTGTTTCTCCGCCCTATAGCTGCGAGAAGCGGAGTGCGTACGCTCCGATGAACGCAAATGAGCGAGGATCCGTAAAAGGGAGGTGAATAGAGGCACAGACGTTACCTGCTCACTGATTCATTGAAGAATTGGCAGTGAAAAAAGAGAAAATGAGTGTGTAATAGATAGATAGAAAGACCAGAGGAATAAAAAAAAAAGTCGAACCGAATATGTTCTTGTGATGAAATAAAAGTGAGAACTTGAATTTGGACGGTGTTGGCAGAGTAGCTTTGAAGGCGCAATGATTTCACTTGTTTTTCGCAAGGTAATGACGTCACGAGAGGGAACCATAGGAGGGCGCCACCAAAACATCTCGCCTCTAATGGTGCTAGTATATGCCTTTGAAAAGTGGAAATATTTTGGCCCAATTACCATTGCAGACACCCAAAGAATACGCAGATGGATATTCGCTGATAACGTGAACTGAGAAGCAAATCCAAAACAACACCCGTAGCATTTTTCATTAGATATGTATTTAAAAAATATACTTATAGTATGACATTTACATCCGAAAATTTTGTTCGTAGTTCAACAATTAAAACGAACCCAAGTAATTAAGTACACGAGAGAGCTGGCGAACACGGAATATCACGCGGCATATCTTCCATGCACCTAAGGCGTGCTCCAGCGCAGCCTGGCGCATCAGTCTTTAACGTCAGACACCTTCAGGAAGGAGGTTATCACGTAGAGGCAGTACGCGTTCAGTTGGTCAAGCTTCGTGGTGAGCGCTGTCCTCCTATGCGGCCTCAGGCAAACCAGCTCGTCCTTGACCACACCGGTGATCACGAAGTAGTTCTCCTCAATGTACTTGTTCGCTTCTCGGACAAGTGAATCAGCGGACAACGCTGATTCACTCGTCCGAAGCAAGGAAAGTTCGTACGTGAAGTACTCGCTCCGCCGATATACCTGGAAGGCTGCCGCAGAGCTCTTGTCCTTCGCAATCTTGAGCACGAACTGGAGCGCGCGGTTGAGGAGGGCGCAGTTCCTTCGCAGACATTGGCTGACGCTGAATCCAGCGACGCTAGACGCGGGATAGACAACGGACAGCTTCTGAAGAACTTGATTGGAGGACAGGCCACCCGCCAGGGTTACAAGGCCAAGTTCGTCAACGGGAGCATCGTTTAGGATCAAAGCGCTGAGCGTGCTGTTCTCCACAAGCATCGTGGCAATTGTTCTGCAGAGGCTGACACCGAGTTTGTAAGAACCAATGCGGAACTTCCAGATGCTTGAGTTAAACGCCAGGCCGCGCACGAGCCACATCAGGGACATGTTGCGAACCTTGTCCGAGACAGTTACCGAGCGGATGGTTTTTGTGACGCGAAGATTTGCCAAGGACATGAGACTCCTCCTGAAGCGCAGAGGGCAGTGGATTTTGAATTTTCGCACCGATCGGTTGGAGGCCAGGGCGCCGAACAGAGGACTCGTGTCAAATGAGTTGGTTTGTATAGAAGGTCTCGAAGCGTATCGTGGCATCGCAGCTTTTGTGAAAGTATCTGCAGCGACCAGGTGGACAATTTGATGCCTTCAAGCCATCGGTTGAGCGCCAAGGCTTCGACGAATTCGTTGAATGGCGCCGGTGACTCGAGAAGGAAACTTGTCGAGGCATGAAAGTGCTTCAGCGTCTTGTTGGAGGCGACGAGGCGCGCCAACGCCACAACCGCTTCATCAGTGAACGTGTTCCCGTCTATGGAAAGCTCCAAGAGCGTCCGGTTGTTCATGAGTGAATCAGCGATTGCCACTGCACCGTCGCTGCGGACGAAACTTCTGGAGATATCAAGTGTCCGAAGCGTCTTGTTGGACTGGAGCATCCGAGCGAGGAAAACAGCACCGCTGTTATCCAGGTCGTTGCGCTGAAGATCAAGGTAGGTCAGGGAGGTGTTGAGCTCAAGCGACGAGGCGATGGCTTGAGCACCTGTGGGACCGATGGAGTTCCCGCCCATCTTGAGGAACTCGAGTGTGCTGTTCCCCGCAAGGGCTTGGCCAATTGCAACCGCGCCTTTGTCGTTTATCTTCGTCTTGAAGAGGCTAACACTCAGCAAAGTCTTGTTGGTTCTCAGCAACTGGGCGAAGCGCTGCGCCCCTCGTACGCCGACCATATTAGAATCGAGCTTCAGGCATCTGATGGTATTGGAAGTCTCGATGGCCTTGACCAAAGCTAGGCAGTCGTGGCCCCTCAGCCTATTGTCGGAAAGTTGAGGTCTGTGAGTCTCGTGTTCGCTCGATCGATGCTCTGAACTAACGCGGTCATTTCGGTGGCACCGAAACAAACGTGGCGGAGTTTCATTTGGACGGGATCTCCTCGGAGCATGACGCGAACAAGCTGACAAAGTTGGGGCTTGTTCATTTGATGTTCATTGAGTGCGATTTGCCGGATACCAGCGGTGGGGTGGACCTGCGGTTGGCTCTCGTCGTCGAACAGTTCGCCTGCGTAGCTGAGCTCGACTTCCTGAACACAGTGGTGATTGTTCAACAACCGCTTCATCAAGAAAACGGAGACGACACGATACTCCGACGCGCTTGGGTTGCAGTTGACGAACGTTCGAAGCATCAGCCTCCCCGAAGCAGTTTCTAGGAGTTCGATGCCGGCAGGGTGCAGGAGACTGTTCCATATGTCAACGTTCTTGGCGATCCAGCAGCGCTCTTGCCGAAATCCCAGGATCGACGCAGACGTAAAACTGTGAGTATTTGTGCAGGGAGCATTTACGTCTAGGAACCGTTCCCTGAAGTATGACTGCACGTCGGAAACGCTTGTGGGTCTTCGCGAATCTTGTAGACTCGACGAACGTTTACGCTTTCGTGGCGGCGGCATGTCTCGCTACGTTTGTGCGGGCGTTCTGAGTTCGGAAACCACGCCAAGACGCGAAGGCTGTGCAATTTGGCTTACTGCTTGTTCGGATGGAGGGCCCGAGTTATGGTGTTACCGATGTTGTAAGCCAACGTTGGTGAAAGGCGATGTTGGGCTGCTCGCCCCACTGCAGCTGCACAATATCGTTCCAAGCTCGTTCAGTCACGCGCTCTCGCCCTGTCCTCTTGCTTCCTCCACGCGACCGCTCCTCGTCGTTTTTATGCTTATAAATTAAAAGCTCGCGAACAACGCTTGCTGTAGAACCCAGGGATGCTGTGTTCGATCCTCATCCGTTCAGACCTGAATCAGGTCCCCATACCGGCATGCGGTCGTGCATCACTACCGCGTGGCGCATTAAGGTTAGCAGTCGTACACTTCACTGGCTACATTTGTCCACGTCCTTGGGAAACACTGTTTAAATATCCAGTGTCTTATTTTTTTTTAAACCGAAATGGTTAAACAAAAGTGTTCCACAGCGGCTTAATAATTTTGTTCATTTGACGAGCCACAAGATGACGATTGGTAGGCGCTGCACTCGCAAGTCCTCTGACTGACAAACTTGCTAGCAGGTTGGAGAGAGCACGCGAAGCAGGCGGGTTATTTCGTGTCTACACTCTTAACGGCGCCTCTATAGCTACCTATAGACGGATCAAACTTCTATTTTAGAAGTTACGAAGTCGTTTTTAAAGGTTTCGTACATTTTCCGTTGCCTTAGAGGTTAAAACGGCGATTCTTTTTTTGTCTCACGTTTAGTGGTTACGCTACGGCTCTTGTGTTGTAACCTCTAAAATGTAACGTTGGACAAGAACGGGTAATCCCTACAGGATTGACACGGTTGTTTACTTTTGTTTCCTCCTAAAAGAGAACTTAGAAAGGGAAAGAGGGAGGGAGGGGCCGACTAGAGCACTATATAGCTCCTTCGGAGCACAGTAGCAATGGAGTCAGAGTTGCGCGTTCATCCCCGTAGCGCCGTCTTTCCTGCATGGCACGTTGATCCAGTTCGTCACGTGACTGAATTCGGCGAATAGCAGCGCCGCGCGTTCGAGGCGCGCGGCGCGCTCAAAAGCAGGGGAACGTTCGGCGGGGCGCGCGCAACGTCTACTTTCCTGCACGGCACTTGATCGGGCTCCTCACGTGATCGGATCTCGGCGAATAGCAGCGCGGCAGCGCGTGGAAAACAGACGCGCAACCAGGGTGAAAGATAGACAGGTGGGGAAACGAGAGCCAAATGAGTGACCGGATTGTGTCCCCCTAGGTTTTCTCTTTTTCTGTGGCGCCATCTATGTGGAGCACCGCGAACTCTCACTCCGGGTGGTGCTACCGGTGGCGATGGCTAAACTGACGGAGATGATTTCTCGTAGATTTTCAGTGGAGGACTGTCGTGCTCTCGGTTTATTTTGCGCATTCTCCCATAGAGTTCCATGCAAATCCGATTCCAATATTTTTCCTCTCGCCGCAGCGCCATCTGTCGCAAATCAGGGGTACCCGCAAGCAGACGAGTACACAATCCGGTCACGGCGCTGCGGTAGGCTTCTATGGGCCGTTTCCCCACCTGTCTATCTTACACCCTACGCGCAACTCTGGCTCCCGTAGTGAGCTAGCGCAATCTGGAATGCCATCTCTCGGCGACTAGCGGGGAACGCCCGGGGGTTCCAGCTCCGGTCACAAATGCACGGGGAACGTGAGAAAATCGCTGTCTCTTGATTATTTTGGGGATGTACGGAACGACAAAAGCTTTTGACATAATAAAGGAACAATTTACAATAATTTGCGCTAAGCTTTGTGCCATGTAATAACTTTATTTTTTTTTTAATGCCTGAGCGGCATCATGTAGCAGGCGACGCGGCAACGTCACACCGTTCACGTGACCCGCTCCGGCCAATCCATAAAGTCCATCTCCGCTGCGTAAAACAATCGTCTGCTTCAAACGCTATTGCCTTGGAAATTGCCTTCTCAAACGTTTCACACACATCCAACATTATGAAAACTTTGATAAAGTGTTTAGTGCTTTACCAACTTCACGACAGACTAGTTTCGAAAAGTGTAAACTCGGCATCTATTTTTTAATCAGCCGTGTTGCGTCGATCTCCATGCATTCTCCCATAGGGCGGGCCGCCTCCCGGAACCCTGAGTACCACGTGACTCGCGCCGAGCTGCTCTGTCGGCCAGTTCTCGGTGAAACACGCGGATCAAAGGATTGCGCTACTCTGCTCCGTAGGAGCCGACACGAGCAAGAAAGGGAGCATAATAAGAGGAGGAGTGAACCCAACCTTTTTAGTTCAACGAATTCCAAACGTAACCTCACGTGACCAGACTCCTTGGCGCCATCACTGCCTTCACCGCCGATACTTTGGTTTTGGAGGGACTGCGGTTGGTGGCCGCGTTCGGTCGTCGTGCATGGTTTTGGATCGGAACTCGTCGTCGCTGCTGTTTCATCTGGATTACTCTAAGACGACAAATCTTCACAAGGCATGCTTGACGTTTGGCTGGTGAGAAAGATGTTATACTTAACGCAGTACTGAATCTGCATCACAGCTTTGGTTCAAGTTTCTATACCGAATGTTCTTTATATGCAGCTTGGTTTTGAGTCTGAGTTGAGGTTCCAAAGGCAAGTGTCTGCCCTCGTGGACGTCGGGATCAATGCAGTCAACATTTTGTCGGACAAGCACAGAAAACGCTGTACCTTCTCTGACAGAGCGACACCTGGGCCGCTTTTCTCGAAGCGATGGTAAACCCATTTTGGTAAACCACGGTGCCTAGGAAGGAAAAAGTACCTAGGTACTGTAATAAACGGCTGGATATAGAACAACAATAATTATTTTTGATTGGGCAATAAGATGCGCCATCTATCGGTGAAACAAGCCAGTCATTTTTTTATCCTCTTTTTCCGCTGGTTGTTATCGATCTAGTATGGTATTTTAAGTCAAAATATAGTAATGTTGTACTTGAAGACCAATTTATTTGCTTCCGATGGTACGAAAAAATTTTAGCTACTATGCCATAGTTTGTCGACGAATATTCGAAAATCTAAAAAACATTTCCTTCAATATGTTTCGCCATAAACAACGCATAACTTTCCCGTGTTCCTTCCAGTCTGGCAACGCCGGTGCTGTAGCGCTGTAGTCTCGTTTTTGTTCCTTGCGACGCACGTTTCTGCGATTCCTGCTGATCCCAATGTTTGCCCTCTCTTCCATTTGCCCAACCGATCCACCGGTGACGAAGCTTCTCGTCACCGTTGAATCGCCGGCCACCGGGGATATGTAGAAATCTCGATGCTGTCGGCATACTGTCGGCGCACTGCGAACAAAAAAAAAACAGTACAATGTCCCAGCTGTTCACCAGGAATGAAGACTTTATTGTGGATAACCCCCATACTCCGCAAAGTAATCGCTTCTCACGATTTGGCATGCGTAGTGTAACAAATTAAACGTGTTAGAATAAATATATACCAACACTCGTTCGCAAAACATTTTTTTACTCACCATAAAAACACTTGCAAGGCTTATGTACCGTCATATGTCTTGGATCCCGGACTGCTGAAGAGTGATGCGTTCGCGGAATGCTGCCGTCTGTTAGTTTAGTAGTCCCTCTGAACTACCGCTTTGCTTGACGTGCTAATAGGTTGATGGTGCGTCATTAATATAACAGCCGGATCGAAATGAATGTTCAGCAGAACCAAGCAGAATTATTAGCCCTCATTGAGCGACGCCACGGCCATTTTCTCCTCCCTCGGCGCACCTTCTCTCCAAGTCACGTGACCTAGAATTCCCCCTTCTAGGGACAATTGTTAACTTTAAACCACGGTTCGCGTTCGAGAAAACGGGCCCTGAAGCCAGCTGAAGCGAAGTACCTCTTGACCGACCAGGTACAGAAGGTTTCAAGATTCATTTTGTGCATTGTCTTGTGCGAGATTTCCGTGAACAAGTTTAATACTTCTAATGTATACGATTTTACGTAAGTAACAATACCCAAGCAGCACAATTCACCGGCTCAAGCTTGAGCCGGCTTGGGCAGCCGAGGAAAGTTTCCCTGGCCCAAGCACCGTTTTGCTCCAAGGGGCAAGCTAGCCCCAGCCTGGCTAGCCGGCCCGGCAGTTCAGTGGGGGTTCCTTGTACAGCCAAGCTTGGCTAAACGGCGTAAAACAAGCCTGGGCCAGGCTGGCAGTTCAGTGGTCAGCCAAGCTTGGCAAAACGGTCTAAATGCATCCTGGGCCACACTGGCAGTTCAGTGGTCAGTCAAGCTTGGCAAAACGGTGTAAATGCAGTGTGGGCCAGGGTGGGAGTTCTCTGGTCATTCAATCTTGGCTATACGGGGAATTTACAGACTTCTCCCAAGGAAGTCTATGTTGTCATTCAAAGGATGTTTTTTGTGGCATATGATAGAGTCAAACATCTCCAATTTTTGGTGCTGTGTGCAGAAGAAAACTGGTTGCTACCTTGTTCCGGATTTAGTGACCCACGATTAATGGAGCTGCTAAAGTAATTTTCTCAGAATACTTAAACAATAAAATGAAAGTTGAAAACATGCGCGAGCTGCTGTATTTATTGTGCAGTTGGCATGCAAATGAAGCTGCAAAATCAAGTCAAGTTTGATACAGTGGTTTTTTTATTTCATGTTCAGTACATGGTGCTAGCTTATGCCCGAGTTCCACTACAGCGACAAACAGAAACAAATGACGACAAGTCTCAAACCTGAGTCTTTCC